CACACAGAGACCCAGAGACTCACACAGAGACCCAGAGACTCACATAGTGACCCATAGACTCACACAGAGACCCGTAGACTCACACAGAGACCCATAGACTCACACAGAGACCCATAGACTCACACAGAAACCCGTAGACTCACACAGAGACCCGTAGACTCACACAGAAACCCATAGACTCACACAGAGACCCAGAGACTCACACAGAGACAGATAGATTCACACAGAGACCCATAGACTCACACAGAGACCCAGAGACTCACACAGAGACAGATAGACTCACACAGAGACCCAGAGACTCACACAGAGACCCATAGTTTGTTGTCCTTCCCCCAACACCTCCGATTACCACAGTTGGCTACGTACGGTGCGAAAGAAGTTCAATCAATCAAGGCTCTATTTCTATATCACTATTTCGTGCAAAGGATGCCATTCAAAGTGCTGTACCGATTAAAAATAACATTGTTAATAGACGAAATCACAACAAGAATAAAAGCAAATTCCTTCCAAAACAATTGCGTGATAATAAATGACTATCAAAGGCATGTAAAAAAAAACAACACTATAAAATAATCTTGAGTAACAGCAAGTTTTAAAAAGGTGAGTTTTTAGATGTAACTTAAGTTCAGCATTCACACACACACACGTCCATCACCCGCCGACTCGCATCACACACAACGTCACTCGTCATTACATCACACGAACAACACTCAGCAGGACCCCCCACACAGAAACCTCGTACACCCCCCCCCCAACACACACACACAGTCAGCTCGCCGTGTTGTCCCTGCCACCTCTGGGTATCAGATGACACCGCTGTGAGCCCTGACAGAAGGTCCCCTTTATTACGTGGGGGTCACACCAGACCCCCCTGGAAGTCCTCGGAAATGTCATCCGCCGGTGATGAGCGACATCACTCGGCGTCGTCACCATGCACGTTCAGAATGTCTTACCTCCTCACAGCTCTTCGTCAGCCGACACGCCGCGTGTATGTACAGCACGCTGAACTTCTTTCGCACCGTACGGAGCCAAATCGTGCTCATCGGATGTGCGGGGGAAGGACAACAAACGATGGGTCTCTGTTTGTGTGAGTCTCTGGGTCACTATGTGAGTCTATGGGTCACTGTGTGAGTCTATGGGTCTCTGTGTGAGTCTATGGATCTATGTGCGAGTCTATGAGTCTGTGTGAGTCTATGGGTCACTATGTTAGTCTATGGGTCTCTGTGTGAGTCTATGGGTCACTATGTGAGTCTACGGGTCTCCGTGTGAGTCTATGGGTCACTATGTGAGTCTATGGGTCACTATGTGAGTCTATGTGTTAGGGGGTGGGGCGGACAGCACCACGCCCGGCCGCCTTTGTCTCCCTAGTGGCGATGTTTACTACACACCGTACCAGGCACTCATTTGATGACCTCAGGGAGGTCCAGGACTGGTTCAGATAATGGTTCCCGGTGTTTGCCATGAGCGGGGATTGAACTCGGTTCGTCGGACATCTGTGAACAAGAGCTTTATAGCTCATCGGATTCCTCCTCCAGTATAAATAAATAAATATACTGATTGATATTCTGTAGCGCAGTGCACGAAGCACTGCACGACCGCTCCACATGCAAGTCACACCACTCAGCCACCCACTCACCACATCACAGGTGACACCGCTCGCCCACGACTCACCCACCCACTCACCACACCGCAAGGTGACACCACTCACCCACTACTCACCCACTACTCACCCACTCACTCACCACACCGTAGGTGACACCACTCGCCCACTCCTCACCCACCCACTCACCACACCGCAGGTGACACCACTCACCCACGACTCACCCACTCACTCACCACACCGTAGGTGACACCACTCACCCTCGACTCACCCACTCACTCACCACACCACAGGTGACACCACTCACCCACGACTCACCCACCCACTCACCACACCGTAGGTGACACCACTCACCCTCGACTCACCCACTCACTCACCACACCGCAGGTGACACCACTCGCCCACGACTCACCCACCCACTCACCACACCGCAGGTGACACCACTCACCCACGACTCACCCACCCACTCACCACACCGCAAGGTGACACCACTCGCCCACGACTCACCCACCCACTCACCACACCACAGGTGACACCACTCACCCACTACTCACCCACCCACTCACCACACCGCAAGGTGACACCACTCACCCACGACTCACCCACCCACTCACCACACCGCAAGGTGACACCACTCACCCACGACTCACCCACCCACTCACCACACCGCAAGGTGACACCACTCACCCACGACTCACCCACCCACTCACCACACCGCAAGGTGACACCACTCACCCACGACTCACCCACCCACTCACCACACCGCAAGGTCACACCACTCACCCACTACTCACCCACCCACTCACCACACCGTAGGTGACACCACTCACCCACGACTCACCCACTCACTCACCACACCGTAGGTGACACCACTCACCCACTCCTCACCCACTCACCACACCGCAAGGTGACACCACTCACCCACTACTCACCCACCCACTCACCACACCGCAAGGTGACACCACTCACCCACTCCTCACCCACTCACCACACCGCAAGGTGACGCTACTCACCCACTACTCACCCACCCACTCACCACATCACAGGTGACACCACTCACCCACGACTCACCCACCCACTCACCACACCGCAAGATCACACCACTCGCCCACTCGTCACCCACCCACTCACCACACCGCAAGGTGACACTACTCACCCACTACTCCGCCACCCACTCACCACATCACAGGTGACACCACTCACCCACGACTCACCCACCCACTCACCACACCGCAAGGTGACACCACTCGCCCACTCGTCACCCACCCACTCACCACACCGCAAGGTGACACCACTCACCCACTACTCACCCACCCACTCACCACACCGCAAGGTGACACCACTCACCCACTCGTCACCCACCCACTCACCACACCGCAGGTGACACCACTCACCCACTCGTCACCCACCCACTCACCACACCGCAGGTGACACCACTCACCCACTACTCACCCACTCACCACACCGCAGGTGACACCACTCACCCACGACTCACCCACCCACTCACCACACCGCAAGATCACACCACTCGCCCACTCGTCACCCACCCACTCACCACACCGCAAGGTGACACCACTCACCCACTCGTCACCCACCCACTCACCACACCGCAGGTGACACTACTCACCCACTACTCACCCACTCACCACACCGCAGGTGACACCACTCACCCACTACTCACCCACCCACTCACCACACCGCAAGGTCACACCAACTTCCCTTTCCGCTCCTTCCCCTCGCACTCGTCGAATTTTGGAATTCCCTGCCAAATAAACAATCTTCCTTGTTCGCAAGCTCTTGTGGCAATACATATCCTTGCTCAACTCAAGAAACGAAACGTGGAAACCGGTATTTTGTTTTCTTCTTAAATCTCGTACACACGTCTCTGATGGTGCCGTTTGTTGCTGGCAACTTGGCGTTTTTGTGGCCCTATAGTTGGCAACGGATCTTTATTTCTCAATTAAATATGTACATAAACAAACTGTATTCCACATCCTCCCTCGCATCATACCTTGCAACATCCTCACGTTCTGCACGGCATTACCTGGGGCATCGACAATACCAGACAACAGTGGACTCGTCAGAGCAGGCAGGGAGGGATTTTATTTGCGGGATGGGGTGGAGGTTTTCGACTGGTCTAAGGTTTGGGAATGGGCCCCGTCCAAACACGTGCTGTATTATTCTTCCTTGTCTCTGAGCTTCGAGCCCAAGATGCTCCAATGCTGAAATCGGGCCGAAGGAATACAGACATCGACTGTGGGAGTTGGGGGGTGGAGGTCCGTGATTATTCCACGTCCTCAATATGGTTTTGCTGGCAACGAACGGTCTTTTTAAATGCAATTAAATAAAAAAAATCCCCAAACATTCGTTTTTGCCCTTTGCGTGTGGGATGTATTCTTCTTCAGGCGCCAAGCCCCTTTGTCTCCCCCCGTGGAAAGACGAGACGCAAAACGACTTTGCGAGTTCGGCGATTACAAAACATTACTCGAGTGCGTTGGCGTTATAATGGACACGGTCAAATAAAAAACACAGCAACTCAACTCACGACTCCCACTCTCCTGAACGTCATAACGACTATAACACAAAAACTCACGGACACTTTTAAAAAGAAGTGAATTTGGCCAAGACAACAAAAAGCGCGTTGCTGGAACAAAGGGTGGGAGGGGGGTTTGTACGTCAGTCATCTTTAACATCAGTCATCTTTAAAGAACTGCATTGAATGAGCCGAACAAGAGACCGTTTGGGAGACGCTTCCAGCCAAATATCCCGTTGATGGTGGTTGTAATAACCAGCGAAACACGTCAGCGCACTCCAATTGTAAACGTAGTGGATTTACTCTCCAACACACCTGTGGGCCGAAGTCGTCAACTCATTGCCACGTTTTTTGTTCACGTGACAAACCTCACTGGTTGGCTGTGTCGGGTGGTGGCGGGTTAACGACACATTTATAACTTTTTATTTAAAGCGTTCGTGACTGCAGGGATTCATAGTCTTGATTCTTTCGGTAAAGTCACGTAGAAGGGAAATAATAAAAGAATAAAAAAATTAAACAATAACAAGTAAACCCGTAAAAACAAAGTTTTTCACTCTAAATCCTTTACATGCGTGGCGGCTAGAGTCCTCTCGTCCTCTGGCTTGAGATGGCTGCAATCTATGGGTCAGATGATTGTCTGCCAGTATTAAGCAATTGGTAATTAAATATTTAATTTGTTTTCCCTAAACAGTGTAAAATTTTGGGGAAAAAATTTCACGAAAATTAATTGTCACACACAACGAGTCTGTGTGGAAAATGTCAGCTCGATTGGATCACGGGAAGTGGGTTAAAAAACGAGCGAAAGATTTGCACGGTTCTAAGCAAGCAAGCAAACTTAATATAAAGGATTTAAAATATATTCGCCTGTGGAGGACGCGGGGATCGATCCCGCGACCTTTGGCATGGGAAGCCAGGGCGCTACCAACTGCGCTACTCCGCCACGACCTGTGGAGGGGTTACGCTCTGGGCTCCTATACTGTGACGTTCAGCCAAAGCCATGAATGAGTTCTATTTGAATAAATGTAAAATAAATTTTTTGCCTAAAAAGTGTAACATTTTAGAATTTTTTTCACGAACATTAATTGTCACGCACAACGAGTCTGTGTGGAAAATGTCAGCTCGATTGGATCTCCGAAAAAACGACCGAAAGATTTGCACGGTCGTAAGCAAGCAAGCAAGCACACAAGCAAGCACGCAAGCAAGCAAGCGAACTTAATATAAAGGATTTAAAAAATTAACCCGTAAAAACAAAGTTTTTCACTATAAATCCTTCATATGCGTGGCGGCTAGAGTCCTCTCGTCCTCTGGCTTGAGATGGCTGCCACCTATGGGTCAGATGATTGTCTGCCACCATTAAGCAATTGGTAATTAAAAATTTAATTGTTTTCCCCTAAACAGTGTAAAATTTTTGTAAAAAAATTTCACGAACATTAATTGTCACGCACAACGAGTCTATGTGGAAAATGTCAGCTCGATTGGATCACGGGAAGTGGGTTAAAAAACGAGCGAAAGATTTGCACGGTCGTAAGCAAGCACGCAAGCACGCAAGCACGCAAGCAAGCGAACTTAATATAAAGGATTTAAAAATGATCACGTTTCGACTTCACCGAAAGAACCAAGAATATGGACACATTCATACTTACGCTATCTAACCCAAAAAAAACCCCCGCTATTATGAATAAGATGTTTCCTGTTTAAACAGGGGTGGGGGGGGAGGTTCCCCCTTTTAAATACCCGTGTGTGTGGCGAGGTTGTTAATTATTGATTTTAAAACAATGTCCCAGTCAGATGAGAATTGCTGATGTGGAGAACATGCCCAGGCATGTCCCCGGGACATCGCCACCATTGAGCTTTTCGGATGCGCGTGTTGTTGTGTTTCTGTGAAAGTGTCTCCAAAACGAAAACAACTTTGGAGTTGCCCGTACTATTTTTTCTACCACGGGGAAAACGAGAGAACTATTACACTAACTACTTGTTAATATTTCGATTTAAAGCTTTCGTGACTGCAGGGATTCATCTTCTTGGTTCTTTCGGTAAAGTCACGTAGAAGGAAAAGAATAAAATAATAAAAATAAAAACATAAGAATTTATTTTTTATTATTTTCCTTCTACGTGACTTTACCGAAAGAACCAAGAAGATACTTGTTTATATGGCTCTTATCAGAAGCGGCCTGGCCACAAATCAATGCTGAACGATGTGGTTCATGTGTCAGTGCACAGCACCTACATAATCTAAACATATCTATGAACATCTCCACTTTGCACCCAGATCGTGTTTTTGTAATGTTTGTTGTTGAAACGTTCTTACCCACCCCTACTGGACATCTCATGAAGAGCTTTACAGCTCATCGGATTCCTCCAGTGTAAATATAATTCCGAACGGCTCAACCAGAGCTATTGAAGCGTTGATATTTGCATTCCCTTTGCGCCGTTCGCCCTTTGACCATCGTTCTCTGGTCTAACACTGGCGCAGAGACGAGGACAGATCCGTCTCTGGTGTAGGCCAATACGTTTTAAAGACAATGCATTACATTATCAAAGCACGTGTTATAGCATGTTTTACCACGAGGATGATGTTAATGCACACTTGATGCCTTACAATAGGGGTGTCTCTGGTTTTTTAAACATCTTGACAGCTGTATTATTGCCGGAAAGGGTATAAAGCCTATTCTTGTTTTTACATTTTATTTGAAAATGGACAGCCTGAAAGGCATTTCCATGGGTAAATAAAAAAACAAATATCAACATTTGATATCTGTCCATGCACCCCAACACATGTTGATCAACGGAAAGCTACAGGACTCAATCCACACGAGGCGAGAATGTGTTATTGAACCTAACAGCTTTATTGAAAACACGAACCAGGCTCTTAATAAGCAAAGATGAAATTTCACAGTGTACGTCAAAAAAAAAAAAATCACACGGTTTTTTTTTTCCATATTTTTTAAAACTTCTTTTCATTTTTCTCTTTAAACATTTAACTCTACATAATAGGTACAAAATATAAACTTTTCGTTTGAACGATGTTAACACACAAAAAGCCGTGATGCCACTACTGCTATAGCAAAAGAGTCAGCGTGCAGCCACAGTAAACCCACACGGTACCTTTTTTCAAATCTTCTTCTTAACCGACGACGTTGAACTCAAAAACAAATCAGCCACGTTTTTTTCCTCATATAAATCGTATTGCAAAATCCTCCCCCCTCAACGACGTCCGTACTGCTCTCACTTCCCACACCTCATCCACCACCCCCCCCCCCCCCCCAAAAAAAAACCACTTTCAGAATAGGTTTTACAACGTTTCAGTCGAGTCTTCACCGGCCAGCCGTCGCACTGAACGTGACAAAACGCCTCGAAGCAAACACCCGCGTGTTACGTGTGCCACGTGTGTTACAAACAATTGGCTTTGTGCCGCTTCGCAAAAAAAAATGAAACAAAGACTGGCTTCGTGTGGTTTTTTTGTGCAACCAGACAGCGGGCTTGCAGGTTAAGGAAGGGGAAGTCTCCATCCACCTCTCCCTGCCAACTCCCGGCCGAACCAAACCAGGACTTGCGCCGCGCATCAAATATTTAGACGTTCCCAATGTCCATGAAACCGTGGCACCCGCATGTAAAAAGGGAACACGAGTGTAACAATGCTTCGCTTGCCCCCCCCCCCCCCGACACACACAGAAAAAAAAGTGTCGGGTTCTGATGGCTCTGGCAATTGTCCCCGCACGGACGGAGTTGGGCTATGGGAACGTCCTAAAAAAAAGAAATAGAACCATTGGCGTTCGCCAAAGACATCGCGTCCAGGATGCCGCGCGCAATTCCAGAGGGCGGGAGGGGTTGCACAAAAGCCACGCGAGCGAGCGATTTTGTAACTGGGGCACTGGGCGAGGTGCAGCAACGCCGCTGTGCGTGGATTGCCTGGCCAAAAACACAAAGTGGATGCAAAAGGGGGGTGGGGGGGGATAGGAAAAAAAGATGACAAATTTTGCCCCCCGTCCCCCAACTCTGAAACGCTTTTAATGTTTGGGTTCTAGGATGTACAGATGAGGGGATGGGGGGGGGAAGCTGTCATTTCGAGTCCGGATGGGGCAGTTCGAGGTCGTAACGAAAAACGGCACAAACGACGCGCGGTCACTCGGCCACAACCGTTTTGGAGGAGCTCCACAACACACAAAACAAAACTAAATAGCACCAAAATCTAACGCCCCGTCCGGCTGGTTACACCCCGCGCACACCGTGGGCAAGTGTCCAGCCTCGTCGGCCTGGGGAAGCGCACGCACCGTGTTCGGCCGAGCAAACTGTGGCCGACACCGAAAAAGAATTTCTATTGCATCCCCAGAATTGTCTCTTTCCTCCCCCCCCCCCCCCCCCCCCGTTTAATGCAAATTGATTTTTTAAGGGGGAAATTGCAACTGAAGCCAGTGTTTGTTTGTAGTGTACAGTACTTAGAGCACCCATCGAAGACAATTGTACTGAATAAGGGTGATACGCTAAAAAAATGTGTGGAAATGTGACCCCCAAAGTGAAATTCTCAAGGGACACAACAAAAATTAACGTGGCCAAATGAAAATAAATGCACACGTTTAAAAGTAGACGAAGGCGGTGCATGCGTTATTTGCGACTGGATGGAATAGTCGGAGTGCAACGCGGCCTTAATTGATCTCATCCCTCCATGAGTCAGACGACGGCAGGCGATCGTCGATTTAAATTAGTACGTGGAATTACTAATCGCGCGATCCAAAGGACTTTTGAATGGGAAAACCGGCGGCGAATCAAAAAGTCAGCGATGCTCACTCGCACAACATGAAATCAACAGGCATGCCGACTCCGACAAACGCAAAGCGTAGCTTGCCAAAAACGACAAATGGTGGGAATTCTGGATCGCTGGATTTTTTTTTATATCGCCTACGGAAAATGGCTCTCCTCGCAGCAGCGATTTTTTTTTTTAACCAACCATCGCTCGCCCCGTGGCCACCGATTCCCACCAAACAAGCCACCGTTGGATTTCGGCGACATTTTAGAATTACACGTCACCAGTCGATGGCGGCTCACTTAACAGCTAAAGACAGAAACCCCACCAGGCTGCAAGCAGCAGTGGTGGGGAGGGAGATGGGTTGAGGTGGCACAGGTAGCCTCTGACCACTGGACTCTCCGAACAGAGTGCACCGCAAAGGAAACCAACAGTGCACGGTTACGTTGCCGAGAGCTAGTGGATGCGTAATTGGCCACGATCACGATATTTTCAACTCTTGAGGCTGCCGCCTTCCCACCCCCACCACTGCCCCCCTTTTTCTCCCTTTCCCGGCACCGATGATTTATGCCTAAAGCTGTGGGGGTTTAAAGAGAGCTCCGCTCGACAATTTTTTTTTAGAAACATCCAGGTTTCCCTTCTGCAAGGCCAAGTCAGGTTTTGTGTGCACAGTTCACGAGCCATAGGGCATCTTAACCCTGCCACAAGCAAACACAAAAAAACGCGACGTGAAACCAAAAGCAACGGTTATCAACAATTTGGTCACACATCAGCCCGGTGAGAATTGGAAAGCCATGGGTCCAGCATCATAATTGTGGGTCTCGGTAAAAACTTACTCGATGACAAAAAAAAGTCGTGTTAGTGACACACGGAGGAGCGTGTGGTAATATAGCGGGCGTGCAAGGCTTCATGAACTTCACGTTCTCAGAAAGTCACCAAAACTTGGTCACAGAGATGCACGTATTATATAGGCTGTGCTACTGTGCAAACCACAATTGCGGTAAGAATTTCGTGGGATTTTTTTTACATGATTATATAGTTTTTACGAGAATAACAAAGAAAAACCCCTTGAAAAGCATCTTGTTATCAACGCGCTACGAAACGCTTTTATGCATGTCCTACAGACGCGATACTTAAATTTTTTACAAGGCAAAGTTATTATCCTACTTTTTAAGAAAAGCACAAAAATGTTTGCCCCGAAGCTGCCAAAATATGTTCCATGATGGTTCTAGTTAAATGTGCTTAAATATACATGTATTACATGTACACAAGCCTCGTGTGAATAACAATATATTGTTCATAGTGCAAAGTTAATGCTAAACTTTTACACACATTGATTATTTTTTTGTATGCATTACAGAAGCTAGTTCAGCACACAGACGCCATTTTTGGGGTGAGAAAACAGTGCACGAGGCAGATGTGGCCCAACGGTTCACGCGTTCATGCGAAACATTCCGGGTGGACTGATGACGTTACTACGTTGCTTTGCGACTTTGTCAAATCACATTGCCCTGCGTCGTGTCTTATAAAATTGCAAACGCAATTTCAACAAAGCCACCGCGCCTCTCTCTCTCGCTCGCTCTCATAAAGCACACCATAACGATGAGAAATCACACTACTACCAGCAATTTTCAGTTCTTTGGAAATTAAATAAACAGGGCGTTTAGACTCTAAACAAATAAAGAGCAACTATTTAGACAATAGTGTACCTTTACTGGTAATACATTCGGCTGAAAAAAGTCCAGATGGTTATCATCTGGATGAAACAGTGCAATTTTCTTCATAGTACAGTATCTTAAAGTTGTAATCGTTCGCCCCCCCCCCCCTGCACTCTCAGCCCCTGGTCTCAACCACTTGACACAACTTCCGCTGCCAAATCACACACACGATGGCTCAAACACCCAAATGTAACGACTACAACTACGCCTTACGAGAAAGTCGATCTAACCTGTATGGCACTTTCTTAACTCTAACTGTTCCTTAAAGAGTGGAACACATCATATACAGTATTATATAATCGCGCGCGCGCACACACACGTAAAACAAGCTATCAGTTTAAATGACATTAGGTGAGAAAGTCCAGTTGCTGGCCTTAGGCTTTTGACGAGTAGCCATCACACACACACAGAAACACATCTGCTACTTTTGTACTACGCACGGCAATAGCCGTTTTAAAAGGCCTGCACCGCCACAATTACACAGCCCATCAGCCACGACGTGGGGCTCCTCCCCGTTCCATCAACGCTCAACAACGGTCACTGTCATGTACGTTATGCATCTGGTGGCCAGCATAGCTCGAAAAATCATTGGGGAAAAAACTAAAAAAGTGCAGCATCACTTTACCAAGAAGCTTACAATATTCCTACCCCCCCCCACCCCCGTCCATTGAAAATGAAACGTACACATTATTTGCCATGTAATACTTTAAATGTATGTTGCGTGTTGACCTTATATAATTCTAAACATTTCTACTAAAAACTGTCAATTTTGATCACAGCAAAAAGCAAAATGTACAGTGTTGGCTTTTTTTGATTTTTTTCTTGTTTGTTGTTGTTGTCGTCGTCAAAATGAAAAAAAAAGTGTAAACTAGCACGGTAAACGTAGCGGATCACTACCTGCCTGAATGGCTGTCTCACATCCGGAGATGAGATGCGGGGAAAAAAGCGCAGCGAGAATCATCGCGTAAACCTCACGAAGCAACTGCTGCCCCACTTTGGTCACCTGCCCGCCCGCCTGCCCGCCCAGCCACCGCCCCCCCCCCCCCCCCTTGGGGCTGCTCACATTTTGAAAAAAGGAGGAGAGAGTTCAAGCTCCATCATCATCATCATCTCCGATGACGGTGGCAGCAGCGCTCTCTTGTGCTTAGGGGACAACGGCAAGAGTAAAAAAAATTAAAAGACAGTCGTGGGACTTTGCGTTAAATGCTCCAATCGAGCAGCGCCCCCCCCTCCTCTCTCTGCACTTTGTACCCTTCAATATTTTTTGCTTGCTTATACAAACTAAAAAGTGGAAAATAACATCTTCCCCAGCTTGTTGTCCAGACGTAAAGCTGCCTCACCAGCCCCCCCCTACCCCAGCTAGCTAATCAGAGTCTACAAAGATCCCCCCGCCTCCACCGCCCCCTTCCACCAACTGAAAAGAGCCCTCGGCAACATTTAGGCCAATTTTTATTTGGAAGGCTGTCCCCCAAACAAAAAAAGCAACCGCCTAACCGTTCGTAGAGATTTTAACAAAAAAATTATGATTCCACGACGGACGGGCGTACGGTGTTAAGATAGGATGGTTTAGTTTGCTGCTGTTGTTGTTGTCGTTGTCAGAATGACCGTATAAACCCAACTCGACGACGCGATAAGAGCAGCCCGCAAGCGCACTGGTGACAAGGAAGCGGTTCTAAATCTGTACGGAATCGACATTCAAGAGATATTATAACACCAAGGCCGCTGAAAAATTATAGCTAGTTAGCAGAGGTTGATATTTTTCCAAAGCGCCACCGCGGTACTGGATACGTTCATCAAATGCCCTCCATCCAATCCCGATGGAACTAAATAGATTAATGTGGCCACCGTATTGGGCTGACAGTTTTCACCATCCTGGAAATGTATTGAAGGTCTTCGTACAACGGACTGACGATATACTTACGCGTTCCCTTGATGAGGGAATAAAGACGCCACGTGTTTCAGAGCACCTGTCTCATAAATAAACCTTCAATGCAGGCCATCAATGTCCTAGTAGCTTAGGTACTTCAAAACTTCTATATACGTTCCATACGGGACAATCACGTGTACGCGCAAATGCCCGTGGCGCACACACACGCACACACACACGCTACACACAATGGGTCAAACCCTCCCTACTCTCTCACCCCCCCCCCTCTTCAACCCGATCCCGCTCCCCCCTGCCGCTTGCCCTCAGCCCCTCGACGCTTCCCATTGACGAATAACACGGCACCAAAACCAGTCCTACGGGAGAATTATCGTGTTGGCACATTGGAAAGGAAAACATAATTTCCTACATTTCCTTTAGTGTCTCCATGAAGCCAATATGGCTTGGTTGACCTTTCCATTGCTTTTCTAACAACTCCTCTTTCTCCCCAGCCCCCCACCCCCACCTCTTTACCCCCCCCCCCACCCACAAGAAACACACATTGTCAGACATCCCACCCAAGGGCCCCCTCCCCCTCATAACTAAAGGGGGGCTGCCCCACACCTCCCAAATGGATAACGACAGCTGTAACGCTATCTGTTGTCCGCCGGCGTCAGCTGCAGCATGGATACCACGCTTTGGATATCCTCTTCTGGTACCTACACAGCACACACACACACACAGAAAGGGGACGAGGCATTGCATTAAAGAATGACAAAAAAATTACGTATAGAAATTTATAAATCTAATCATTCTGGTCGAAGGCCTCCCCCCCCCCCCTCATGGATGCATCTGTCGTTGGGGTTGTTTGAACCATACTTCACCACGCCGGACAGAGCGGATTGGGGAAAGGGATCGTCGTGCTCAGGACTGGTTCAGATATCGCTCTGCGCTGAAGTTGGCCTTGGCCGGGAATCCATAACTGGTTGCCGGGTTGAAAGCGCATTGCACAATGCACGTTGAACTTCTTTCGCACGGTACATAGCCAACTGTGCTAATCGGAGGTGCGGTGGGGTTAGCTCTACTAACCACTGCGCCACCGACCTGCACTGACCGCTGTGGGGAAGTATGGCCAAATAACACTCATACTTCCAAATGGCACAGGGTGGTGGCCCTCATCCAGCAGTGGATTGACAAAAAAATGGCTGTGCATGTACTTTGCCCGACCAAACACGTTTACAACGTCGCGTAAGCTTGACTTCGGCAATGATTTCCAATACGCAGCAAAAATTATTTCAGATACCTCTTAAAGACACTCGAGACAATTTCACGCATTCGTAAGAACTTGTATAATTCTAAGGTTACCAAATGTCAACGTGAGCTGAAGTCGCCGTGCTATTGTTCGCTATCCTGAAGAGCTGTGCAAATATGAAAATGTGGAGAAAGTGATATGCCTCATAAATCATGCACTGTTCGTACTTGAGTTAACACTTAATGCCAAAAGACAAATTTATATTACATCTATGGGCTCGCCAAGTAGTTATCCATCCACTGTGCTGAAAAAAGGTATTGCCTGCATTCTCAATATTTTTTTTTTTGTGTACAGGAAAGAAAGCCACTGGATATGAAGAAAAAAATAGATCTCTAACACAGAGTAGAACTACACACCACGAACATTTGCTATGTATTAAATACTCAAATTGTTGGCAATCCATAAGACTGCGTTAAACTGTTGGCAATCGCTTATGTAAAACAAACACCGCTCGCAAGCTAGTGACAGGGAGATTATCAAGCTGTAAATGTAAACGCGAAGACACAAAACTGCTGTTCATTGGCAGACTTTAAGTTACTTTCAGGTTCAAATTAACAAAACACGGCCTCTGACTTTTAACGAGCAGCCAATCCGTAATCAATCTTTGCGAGATCTGCAAAGCCACTCGGACAGATCGCCCCCCCCCCCCTCAACCGCCTCGCCCCCCCCTCAACCGCCTCGCCCCCCCCTCAACCCCCTCGCCCCCCCCTCAACCCCCTCGCCCCCCCCCTCAACCCCCTCGCCCCCCCCCTCAACCGCCTCGCCCCCCCCTCAACCGCCTCAACCCCCTCGCCCCCCCTCAACCCCCTCGCCCCCCCCTCAACCCCCTCGCCCCCCCTCAACCCCCTCGCCCCCCCCCCTCAACCCCCTCGCCCCCCCTCAACCGCCTCGCCCCCCCTCAACCGCCTCGCCCCCCCCCTCAACCCCCTCGCCTCCCCTCAACCCCCCCCTCAACTGCCTCGCCCCCCCCCTCAACCGCCTCGCCCCCCACCCTCAACCGCCTCGCCCCCCACCCTCAACCGCCTCGCCCCCCACCCGCCCGCCTCGCCCCCCACCCGCCCCGCCTCGCCCCCCCACCCGCCCGCCTCGCCCCCACTGCTTGTTACAACAACAAAAAAACTTGGTAGGCATCCAACGCCAACACACCACGATGGGCCCACGGCTGCTGCTGCTGCTGCGTTAACGCGACCGGACATCTCCTCCGTGATTGGCTCACGTGTCGCGGGGCACAGGGCCCGGCCACAGTGCGGTACAGTGAGCAGCCGCGTGAAGCTGCACCACCACCACCACCAACAACGTGCTTTCTATTTGTATTGAGTTTAGGTTTTTTTTTTTAATACTTTTTACACAATTCTGGAAAAATTGCCAAATGCAGCTGGATGTTGTAATCACCAGCGTATACGTCGTACTCAAAATTTACTCTCCAACACACAACCTGAAGTTGTAACTAATTGGCACGCTTAGTTTACGTGACAAACCTTACTCATTTAGCTGCGTCGGGTTGGTGGCGGCGGGTTTAACGAGTTATATTTTACACGATACAGCCAAAAAAAAACTTTCTTATTAAAAGTTTTGCTGTCCATTTTAAACGGTGAAACATGGGTTTTAGTTGTGTTGATGACCTACGATCCAACTGAAAAAATCTAGTCACTGGTGCTTGTACATATTCTTAAAAAGCGGAAAATGCCAACTTTGTTCAACGGTGAGCTTGAACGCTAACCCAATAGAGCCACTTGCGATCGCAAACTTTTGCTGTCAATTTTTGTAAAAGCAAACACTTTTAATTTCTAATAACCTCGAAAAGCCAACCGGGGAAAACTGGACAATGTCGCTTGCACCTATCCTCAAGATGTGGAAGACGCTTACAGTACTAAACACAGTGGATTTAACCCTATACGAGCCATCCGAGATAAAGAAGCAACAAATTTACTTTCACACAAGCTCAGCAAAAAAAAACCTGAAATAAATAACCGAATGTGGATTTTTAAAAAAGTAAAAAAAAAGCCATTAGCTTTGTTCTAGCTGTTAACGTCATTATCATTTTTTTTTCTTCAGGAAAAACCGGAGTCACGCGATAGCCGCTGTGAACCGAGGAGGCAGGAACTCCCTAACGGCACGGCCAGGAAGTCCAAACCCTGAGCGCGAGAAGCACAAGCCACGGACGTGCACACACACGGAGTGGGTTGGGCTGCTGAAATGGCAAAAATCCCGGGCACGCACGGGACAAGCCCAGCCGACTTCATTATCACCATCACCGCACGCTGTGTCACTATTACGGCGTTGTGTCACCACCACAAAACAAGCTGGCACCCCGTTTAAGCCCACAAGTATATGGACCGTGAAGCACTCTCCCGTTGTCTGGAACTGGAAACAGGTGTTGCTTTCATGATTTTCTATCCAAAATGGTAGAATCACTGGAGGTTGCATCATCATCATCTATGTGGGATACGAATCTACGTTTAAAGGGTGGGGATTGAGGGTGGGGGGGAGGGCAAAAAAAATTGTATACAGCAGGGAAAAGTGTTTTTTTCCTTTCAAAAATTGAACTAATTTGTTCTAAAGGTTATCGAAGCGTCAGACTGGAAAAATGAGACGGGGTCTCTGGCGCGCACGCACGCACTCGTGTGTGTGTGTGTACCCATCGTTAGCGAATGCACAGTGCACGCCCGACGGACCTGGCTTCAAAGGGCTGCCATGAAACTGCTGCACAGTGCTGACCATGCATAAGCCAGGAGCGGGGAGGAGGGGGGGGGAGCTTTAAACCATCAGAACGTAAAATTGACACAGTCAGCTTTCCACCTAATGGATCCTGCTTAATTAACCGCATGATGTACTTTAATTTGTAAAGGTTCAAATGGTAACGTGGTGCGCCTCCCCCCATCCCCCCACTACCCCCTCCCGACCCCCGTAATCGGCTACAGGTCTGGACGCAAGAAATGCAGAAGTCATGGTGTGAGCAACAAGCAGAAAAGCTCTACTTTGCGACGTTATACAACATTGCTGGAGATTAGGTTCGCACTCGGGCGTCGCCCACCCATTTGCTCACCTACGATTTACTTTTAAGATGCGCAATTGCCAAGGAAAGACTAAAACATCACGAAGTTTGTATTTTGAGGAGAGGCGTAGAGACATACACGGATAGGTTTGGAACCAATGGACGGCACTACGCAGCCCAGAAGAAGCACCCCCCCCCAAAAAGTTGAAAAAGGAATTGGTGCACAACATGCATCACGCTAAAGTTTCCTTGGGTAGGCGCGTACATGTTGTTTTTAAATGGGTTCCACTATATGAAGGACAGGTCATGCAAAGTAAAAAAAAAATCAGTTCCTCATCTTAAGTTTAAACCTAAACCGACCAAATGGTGCATCAAGGTTACATTCTACTTAAAGTTCATTTAGTGTCATGGGTAGGCCATAACACTTGTCCGTTATAATATTTTTGAGAAAACTTGATAAACAGGATTATATTTTTCCTCATTTGCAACTCTACACCCTTGCGGCAAAGAGTTTTTTTTACTCAAAGGTGGTAACGTTTTGAAAACAACCACTGTGCGCAAAAAGGCCCCTCTCTGTCCTTCCGAAATGCTCGTTTAAATCGGCCCACTTTGAGCTTCGCAAAGCGTAAACAGCTAAAACCTGTTGGGTGCTTTTTTTCCTCCCCTACACAAACCTCCGTGTATATTTTTTGAAAATCGTTCAAAATTGTTTTTTCCCTCGTGCAAGCTGCGCCCGTTAACAAGCAAGGCTCGAAACTAAAGTTTCAGAAATTAAGTAGTTTATTTTTTTTTACGACTTTCCTGCCAAAGCCTGCCTTCGTCAGCCAACACCGAGTAATGCGGGGTTCTAGCCAGAAACAAATGCAGCCTTACAGCAGCATCTGCGCAACTGGGACAGCCCAAGTCAACGCCAGGTCAATTTCCCACACATCAATTGTCCCCCTCTCATAATGAAATAAATTAACCACCAAAACCTGCCGCTAAGAAACCTGAAAAATGAGGACAAAGGGAAAAAAACCCAACCTTTTTTGTGATATCCTGAAGGTTTATATTCTTTTAAACCTATAATGAGGAACCTTTGTTGTGTATTCTAACGTATAATAGCAGCTGAATTGTAATTTACACTCTCGTGCCAAAATCGCAAATGCAGCGGCAACATTATTTTTTTTGTGGAGTGGATTTCAAACTCACCAGAGCGTGATCAAACTTGAATGTGCTGATATAGTAGGCCGAGATGTCTGCGTTGGCGAGCGGTTCCGATATCTGGGCCACGATGCCACACTCGTCTGCAAAAGTTAAAAACAAAAAACGCACGAACATTCGTTTTTGCTGCCACATGTGAATGTATAAGCGGCAAACGTACATTTGGCACCATAAAAAAAAATAGTTGGCGGCGCATCCTGTACGCGTGCGTTTGCCCGCGACAACAAGGCACAAACGGTTACGCAGAATCCCAACAGAGTTTCAACTGGGTCACATCCTAACGCAAAAGCTTTTAATTGCCCAAGAGAGGCCCGGTAAATTTGCTCAAGGCCATTAAAAGAATGACGTAACTTGTTTCAGATTTTTTTTTTAATGGGGGGGAATTCAAAGTTCTGTTAAAAAATAACTAAAAAATCTCAACGACTGCTCAAGGATATAATGTTCAGACGTGACACACGCTGGTATGATAAAAAAAACAGTCATCTTCAACAGGACTAGCTGTCCATTTGAACTATGTCACAGTTGATAATCCGTTCAGATGGCATCATAAAAGCAATGAAAGATTTACCGGCACAACACGCGTGTAGAATTGTACAACACAGTTGGGAGACAACGGGGTAATTTCCTACAAAAGCTTTTACACGCCTACAAAATAAGCATTATCACCGCTAGCATGCAAATATGCCGACTCATCGTCCGTTTAGACAGACGGAACAGCGCACACACGAGCGAGCTGTTGGTTTGCAGAAAACGCTCCAGATACAACATTTCCACTGCCCCCAGATGCAAACGAGGGCAATTGCACCCAATTACACGTGACCGAGTCGGGTGGAAAGCAATTTGTTCACTTGCGAAGGTGGATACATTACACCCCCCCCACCCCCAACAGTCTCGGTGACCTGCCATTAAATGTTCGCAAAATAAAAACCAAAAACATGTTTTTTTTTGTTACCCGGCGCTTGCAAGCTTATAAGGAGAGCACAGTTACGGACTTGTTACACACCCTGTGATGTGCAAAAATCCTTTTGCCCAATGCTAAACCCGGTAATGCAACCTTAATAGCTTGTTGACAAGACCATTTAATGAAGTGTTTTAAGAAGGCGGAGAGAAAAAAAAATCTTTGCAGACATTGCAGCAACAACACTTGAATGCCCCCCCACACCCCCCGCTAGACATTTAACTCTTGCAAACACAGCAAGTTGCAAAATGTGCCCTTTGAGCACAAGCAAACTACAAGGGGAAGGGGAGGGGATAGCCAACTTAATTCCACAAGGAGAACTGGAGAGAGAGGTGTCACTCGTGAGGCAGGCCACGAAGTTTTTAAAATTAATCCATCTTCCGTTAACTGTACAAGGCTCAAAATTAAATAACAGCAACATTCATCAAGACACTAATGTTTGTAGCTAGCAGTCAATCACGTAATGAGGTGCACGAGTGTCACTTGCTCGGCAAAATTGTTTAATATACGATGGCGCTTCCATAATTAAATGTACAAGAGGCGGGTGCATGAATGTGGATTACAATGAAGGGATGTTCGTTGCACGTATGTGTGTTGAACTTCTTTCGCATCGTACGTAGCCAACCGTGCTAATCGGAGGTGCGGGAAAGTGCATGAGGTTTGGAGTTTGGCAGACGGCGCTCAAACTTACCGAAACCCAGAGGCTGCCCGCCTATTCTCACCATCTTCCACACTTCCCCCGAGGCACTTGTGAACAGCAGGTTGTTCGGAAACCTACAGATTTTTTTTCACCAAACACGCACGAATCAAATTAACGCGTCAAAACCGAGCTCGCAGCATAATTTTGTCGCCGCACATGGCATCAGGAGAAATTTCCTGGCAATAACAAAGGGCTTGCCATGACTTTTAAAATCAATATTTTTTAAATGCTTCAAACTACGGCAAGACCTTAAAAACACAAGCATTTCCGCGAAATAACTACATCAACATAGCGTCGTCGCTGGTACTAGCGTTCGCTACAAACACCGTCTAAATTAGAAAATCTAAATTAAAAATAATCTATCACCTTTGTAGTGTGCGGGTATCCATGACCAGGGAGATGTAGCCCTCGATCAAGGAGAAGGAAAAAAACTTGATGAGTTCTCGATCTGCGTTGTCAGCCGTGGAGTCCTTGCCGCTGCAAAAAGGAACACGACAACCCTGTAAACAGCTTACTCCCGATTGTCGTCAGGGGGAGGCAAGGGGTGGGAGCGTAGAAAAAGTTGGCCTTAAGAAGATGAGTGGGAATAAAAAAAAAACAAGTTCTGTAGCACACCCACTCTAGAGTCAACACAGACGCCGGGTTTTACACGGAATACGGGAACAAGAACAGCGCCAGTACAGCAGTCACAGTAGTGGCGAGATGTTAACCACCTTGCCTGGTATACAGGAGGTCGTGGTTTCAATCCCATCCCTGACGCCTGCTGTATATATTTGGAGTTTGCATGTTCTCCCCGTGGTCGCGTGGATTTTTCTCCGGGTCCTCCGGTTTTTCACTCCACATTTAGAATCGACGTGCGTTTATAGATTATTTGGCTGCTGCTATATATTTCCACGTGATGATGAGCCACTTCGTTGAGATATCATTTGTGGCCAGGTCGCTTCTGAAAAGAGCCATATAGCTCTGTGGGCCTTCTTGGTAAAATAAAAAAGTTTAGTTCGGAAAAATAGCTTCGTTTACAGGCGCTGAACACAATTTAACTAAATTCTTTTGCACATTTTATGTCACTTCGCACTCGCGACTCAAGATGTAAACTTGAGTTCATAATTTTTTTTTTATCGCAGGTGGTGACACCAGGCAAAATAACCAGACCAAAAAGCATTTCTTAAAAAAATTCGATTTCAATTGAGAACTCATTTCTTTAGAACTGCTTTTTAGTTTGTTGTTCATCCCCCCGGTACCTCTGATGAGCATAGTTGGTTACGTGCAGTGCGAAAAAAGTTAAACGTACACACACACACATACCCAATGCGAAGCGAAACAGCCGGGCCTCATTTGCGTCCTGCCACGTACCTTCCCGAGTAGAACATGATGTCCATGAGAAGAGTTGTGATGAGTGGCAGAGTGGTGGGGTCGAGGCTCGTCACGCAGAACTGGTTAACGGGGCACGTCAGTGGGTGGATGACCGGCCTGCTCACTGCATGTCGGACGCACGGCAGGGGGGGGAACAAAACGCGAGAGGCTCGTACGAATGGAAAACGTTGGGCGTCCGTAAAGGATTAACGAAAAAATGTTACTTGCAAATTATCGAGAAAAATACGGAGACAACCCACCACTTTTAGGTTTCACGAAGCCGTTGACAATGACGGTGTCATCCAAAGCCACCACCTCGCCGTCAATCTCACGGAAAATGGCGAATTCCGTGGAGAGGGCATGCATCACGACCGGGAGGTCTCGCTCACGCACCTGCGTTTCGTACAAAAAAATATACCGATTAACATCCATCGTAAACGCGTGCTGTGCATTACAATTATGACTCAGAGGGGGGTGGAAGGAGGAGAAAATGTTTTTCAGGACAAGGCCACGCTGCTATTGCAGCCACTCGCACAGATTAGAGTGTTGACTTAAAATTATTCATTAAGGAAGCAACATCATTTTACGGGTCTCCGTTTGACACTTAACGCTTATTTCTTTTAGCGTAAACAACCCGATTCCTTCGGTTGCTTGATTGTGATCGACTGTTATCGGGCAACACATTCCCAACGTCATTCTGACTTGGGAGTGTTGAAGAAAATCGGCAGTCCTTTTAGTTTTCCGAAGAAGATGCCAAAGCCAGAGAGCAAATTGGGACATTGCCCTGACATGTGCAAAACTTGAGCGAAAATGTAATTTGGCACAAACACAGCGGTGAAACTCACACTAACTTACCTTTTGACACAAGCGCACTAAACATAAAAGGGAGCGAGCTGTTTTTTTTTACTTGTTTTTACAAAAGTCATGCCTCATACGCAAGACCTTTAAAACATTTTTTATGTATATTTTACATTATTGACATAAATGCAAGGACAGTGAAATGTTAATTAACGAAACGTAAGAATTCTGAGTCGGCCTTTTTAAGGTTACAACACCTACCATAAAAATAAAGCCGACACGTATTAATAGTCCTTATAAAAAGGTCACCACACTAAATCGTTGTCATTCATACTTAAAAACCAAAGCATTTTTCAATTCATCTGCTAAGAATGTCTAAAAAATATATATAAAAAATTCATATTATGCAAGACAACATGACGAGTTGTCAGGGAGCTGGTCAAAATCCAAGGGTCGTTTCCAGAACGAGAAAATGTGGCCAACGCACATTTCCATTTCTTCAATTGCACACATTCGGGAATACACCAACGTGTGGACGAGACAATGACCCAGTTGCAGAGCCAGACGACCGCAAAAACCTCGACTAATCCACCGACCCCCGTTTAACTTCGCGCAAGCCCAAGCAGGCAGGTGAGACGACTCCGTGTGTACGTATGTTCAACTTGTCGCACCGTACGTAGCCAACCCTGCCAAATCGGAGGTGCGGTACAGGGGGAGGTCAACAAACTACAGGACAAAGACTCGGCACTCTCGCTCGCTCACGCACGCACGCACAGCAATCTCACCAAGATGAAGTCGGTCTGGTACGTGGAGTACATGAACACGGAGACGTTGTGGTCGGCAAGCGGAGCGATGACGGACTTTGCGATCTTGGTGACGCCCACGGCCGGCGAGTTGGGGCTGTGTCCTCCGCCCGACACCACGTTGAGCGCCAGCCACGTGGCGTCCTCCACGCTGAGCCGCTCCGACACCGGCAGCTCTGTGCGTTTCCACGAGAGAATAAAAAACGTTAAAACCTGCGTTAAACAAAAAGTATAACTATTTCGGATGAAGACGACGACGACGGTTTGCTTGGTTGTAACCTTTTTGACGAGTTCTCGTATTACCTCCGATTAGCATGGTTGGCTACGCACGGTGCGAAAGAAGTTCAACATACGTACAGACATCAGACAGCTGGAGTTTATCGCGACAAAAATAGTAAACGCTCCAAACCGTTGGACTCTTAAAACTGGAAAGCATTCATCATTGGAAAAAAAATTACAAAATCAAGTCAAAATTGGAATAAACATGTTGTACAGATTTAGTTTATCACCGGGCTCAAAAATACCATTGAAAAGCTCAGCTGGCTTCACGCCACGTCCAGGTTCAAATATAAACTCCTGAATAAAAAAAAAGAATCACTCCAGTCCTTGGCCACTCAAACCTCCCCCCCCCATCCCAATATCCAAACGTGAATAAACACGTAAGATTCTTGCCAAGACCAATATATATTTGTTCCCTTCTGAGATTAAATCTGCCATTTACAAGCAACAAAAGACATACAATGAAAACCATTCACCCGATTACGCTCTAGCAATTAACAAGTAAACATTGGGGTTCAATTGCACGGTTCAAGACACTGTAAAAACGGGTCAGAATTTTTTTTACCCCTACAATCTATTGACAAAAAACACATCACAAATACAAAAGAAGGCAGTTGTTTTTGTTCAAACACCAAAAAGGTTTTCAGAAAAAAAATAACAATCCCCGCCGCTACCATCTGCAGGGCATATTCGGCAACGACCTCTGAGGCAACCTCCGATGCGGCGGTGCCGGTGATGTGCGCAGAGGTCGCAAACGGGTTTTGATTCCTTACCCGTACCCGGCCGCACCAGGGTCGCAAACGAGTACCCATACCCGTACCCGGCCGGGTACGGGTACCCGTTCCCTACCCGTACCCGTACCCTACCAGAAATGAGTGACAAACGGTTACTCACCAGTGACTCACGGCCTACCCGTACCCGGCTGCACCAGGGTCGCAAACGGGTACCCGTACCCGGCTGGGTACGGGTACCGGCTGGGTACGGGTAAGCCAGGTATCGGGTAGGGTACGGGTATCGGGTACCCGGTTGCGACCTCTGTGTGCGAGTGAGAAAAAGGCTGGCTGGGGGGGGGGGGGGGGGCAAAATAGCTGGGGGAAAGAAAAAAATCATCCCTCCCCACTTTCTTTCTGCGCAGTAAAGTGGAGATCCCCTGGGCGCGCATGTGGCCACCAAACAAAGTGTCTGCCCGGCAACAGCGGCGATGCCACCAATTGACGGGAGCGCAAAAACCTCCCCCAGCTCGTCCTGGCCGCAACAAACAATTTAACAGTTCTTGATGTCTCCGCTGGGACGTGATTACTTAATTTTAATTAGTGGTGGCCGCGTTATAGCTATGCCAAGGGTAGAAACGAGCTCGCCTGTTAACCCCCACGTGATGTATTTCCCGTGACTGTTATAGGGAGCGGATTCTGGAAACACGATTGTATGTTTTTCGCTCGAATGCTGAACAGTGCTTAACGGAATAAAACAAATATAGCATTTACAAAATTCCAGAATAAAATTAAAATGTGAGGCAAGCCATTAAAAAGTCAAGCAACTAGACAAAAGAACACGCCGTGACAGTGATAGCGATGTATGAAAAATGGGTAAAAATAACACCCAACGATTTCTTAACATTAGGGTAGAATACCAAAAAGGACTAATAACTAAAGGTGGAATTAATTACTTGAGCAGAAATTTGTAACGGTGCTTAAATAATTAATGGGCTCAGAGAGTGACTGCAACTGCGGTAATTAACACATTTGCCGAAATGTTTTAAATGTAATAATGCTAAAAGAATAATTGCATTGCCAATCAAAACCTTCATTATTTTGCGCAAAATTACATTTCAGGTTTTTAAAAACGGCAACACCCATTAAATATTCAAAACGGTGAAATCGGGCCCCACTAATTTCACAAACCTTCCACTGCTTAACAATTCAATGTGGGTGGGGGGGGGCACTCCCAAGGATCTAAGAAGACACTATATAACAGTTCTGCCAACTGCACAACAAGCTGGTATTTATCCGAGATAAAAAAAAAACATACTTATCGAGCTATTGCATAAGCACGCTACCACACAGCTAAGCCCAACGTAATGTTGACTGTTCCAAGGCCTGGGCTAGCTTTAATAAATAGGAGCCGGTGGAGGCTACAACATAATGAAGAAAATAAAACAGGGATTTTTATAGTTATGCAAAACAAACCAAACCAACAACAACAACCAGCCACTACCATCCAATCGAATCTGAGAGCCTAAAAAAAAACTGCTGGCTCTGCAAATCCGACAGTGGAAAGCCCTTGGAAACAAACCCAGCAGCCCTCTCCTTGTCGACGCTCTATTGGTCCACGGCAGCCAATCGCAAAGCCCGCAACAGCGTGCCTCCACAGCCAATCAAATCAACGGGCTCGCATTACACGTTTTATCAAGGACTCGATTGGCTACAGTCAAGAACAAAAATTGCACAAAACAAAAAATATAATCACATTTTATTAAGCGTACGTCCTCCCCGAGGCAGCAAGCTTCATTGGGGATATTCCACAAGAGTCGTTCGTTCAGATCAATTGGCCGTAGTACCCCATGTCACAGATCAGACGATTTGCAACACAATCATAAAAAGCACACACTTAGCAAGTGTAATGCATGACAAGAGTGTTACTTGCAAGGTACGCTTCTGTAATTATAATTTATAGATCAAGGAAGTGCCGAACAGAACGTACTATGACACGAACACAACAGGGTTGCCCTTTGCAACCCAAAGTCATCAAGGTCAACACAACATTCTTGGCACCAAGATGGCAAGATGTTAACTACCTCGCCTGCAATACAGGAGGTCGTGGGTTCGATCCCGACCCTGACGCCTGCTGCGTATTTGGGAGTTTGCATGTGTCTCTCCTCGTGGTTGCGTGGATTTTTCTCCGGGGCGTCCAGTTTTAACCCTCCACATTTAGAATCAACATCACACGTTTAGACTATTTGGCTGCTGCTATAGATTTCCACACGATAAGCCGCCACTTCGTTGAGCTATCATTTGTGGCGGACAGGTCGCTTCTGAAACAAGAGCTAGACAGCTCAGAGGGCCTTACCTGGTAAAATAAAAACTTGTTTAGTTTTAGTCGAGTTAAATTATATTTGCTTGTATACAATTCACAAACCCAAGACGCTATGGAGTACAGTAACAGCATTCTGCAGCGCTTATGTGCAACATTTAGCATTTTTAAAACGTGCCCAACGTTATTTATGAAAACAGATGTTGATTCTGAAAACACAAGGACTATGTAAGCCATTATCAAGACTCAAACGTTTTTTTTCTTTCCCACATGGAGATGAACAACTTCCAATTCCATCTTCCAGTTGTTGAAAATAATTCATCAGAGCAAGACTCCTCGAGTGGGGGGGCGGGGGAAATGAAATGTTTTTGCGTGTAGAAAAATAATACATCGTGCTACAACCGCTAAAGTTTCGCTCGCAAAAAATAACTTTGAGCAGTTCCGTAACAGAGCAACGCAGTGAAACCTTTACCGATACGAGGGACGGACAGCGATTACCGATTTTTAAGAAAACATTTGTGCTTCCCAAGAAACATATACACTCCATACATATGAAGACCTAAATAGCTGCCTGGGGTAAAGTCTATAAATGTTTGGGGAAATGTGAGCGAGCGACTGCAAGCCGTGCATAACTAGGACACAAATAAACAGCGGTCTCCCTAGCGAAGGCAGCCCGGGCGATGCAAAACATCTTGAGGGTGGCGCTGAGCGTTTACCAATACACACAACACATAAATGAACAAGACCAGAACACCACTGACGTTAAAATTATATTCTAACATGGCAACTGCTTTAACGTGAACCATCTTGAAGCTTGATCGATGTAACTTTATTAATAACTCGGTCACAGCCCAACGACGCCAGAATTCTTTCTCGAGAGACATCAAACTACACTATAACCACCGCCCCCTTTAGAAACACCAAGTAGCGAATGGCAAGGATACACACACACACCCACTGCAACTTCACTCTATGTTGGTAGTTGTTGGTATGTTCATAAGCAGAAGGGGGTGTATATATATGTCAAGATGGGTTAAATATAGACTACATTCAAAAACTGTTAAGACTACAATTCAAATTCTTTTACTTTTTTCAGCAGAGCGAGCGTAGCAAACGCCGTTGCACTGTACTCAGCTACAAAATCTACGCTCCCCCACCTTCACCTCCCCCCGCGTGCTGGCAAGCGTGAAGTATGGTTAAACAACACCACCCACGGTGAGGGAGTAGGGGGGGCCCTCACCTACAACAGCGATGTAAATGTGCAACAGATTCTATCAAACGATATGTTTGTATATATTATTTGCATATACCCACCTCCTCCCACCTTTTACCCACATTGCAGTAATTTTTTTTATCGTAAATAAACAAACTAACGCGACAATTGATGATGAAAAGTGCTTAGGATTGATTAGCCGCCGTCGTGTAAATTAATCAATCGCCTTCGAAAAGTCGCACGTCAATATGAACGCGTGCTTCTCTCGAGCGGGCCAACGTGCAAGAAAAGAGCGCGCTGCTCCTTGCCAAGAGGAATGCTGTCGCCCGAAGGGGAAAACAAGAATCCCCTTCCACCCTTGCCTGCTCGCTGTGCCACCCGTGTAATAATGTAGCAGTGGCGACGGGAGTGGGCCAGGGTCGGGTTGGGGAGAGAATTGATGGCACAAGCACATTCCGTGTAAAGCCCCGAAAACCCCCCTCTCGCTTGCACTCTCTAACCCCAACCCACCCCACCGACCCCCCCAAACCCATCCACCCCACCCCTCCGGTTGCAGAGCAAGAATCTTCCCTTCAATCCTGAGAAGTGGAGAGGGCGGCTGATGCAACCAGTTCTGTGTATGTCACCCGTGTTAAGATATTATCGTCGTAGTAGTGACATCAGTGGTCGTAACCTTTTTAGGGTTTGATAATCACGAAGGAGGAGGAGGAGTTCCCGTGTTGAATAAATTGGTCGCGGCACCGGAGAGAAAAAAAGACGGGACGATTACCATTTGGTATCTTACGCTACGGTTATGATGGATACCCCGCAGTGGGGGAGCGGGAGTGTGGGTTTAACTTGCCAAAAAAACAATTACATTAAGACGATTCCAAGAATAAAGGTGAAATGCGGGCAGTAAAAGAAAAGGCAAACATTTAGTTCAAATAATTAGTGCTACAAGCTTGGCTTTTTTAAAAAAAAATGGTTACCTTTAAATCCTTCTTCATCCACAATCATGGTGAAGTCGTCCGGTGTTTCCGTCAAACTGAAAAACTTACACCTGAAAGACACACGCACACATACACACACACAAATGCCAACACCTCATTAACAAAAAATGTGCCACTTCAATTACTTAATGTGACAATAGCACCAACTTAAATTTCCGCAACGACCGTAATTGACGGTCTGGACGTGAAACTACACAATGCATCAACGCACAGAAAACGCGTTATAAAATCAGACGGAACACGAACCATTAGGCGCACATCTTTAGTAACGAACTTATCAAAAACAGCTCGCGATGCGAGTTCAAGAACACTCCGATGAGCACAGCAAACAGAATAACCTTTCCCCAACACCACCTTCAATAAAAGTAGGTTTAAAAAAATCAGGATTATTAGAGCATCGAGTGCAACATATTTAGTAACCGAATGAAACTACCTAAAAATTTTTTCTATAAAAGCACCATGCAGCTGCTTTGTGGAATTTTAGAAAAGAATGCTCCATGTACAAAGCCCTTCTTATAGTGAAAAATTGCAGGAATGTATTCCGAACCACAAAAAAACAAACACGTACTTTGTAACACTTGGGAAACACGTACAGGTTATTACATCAGTAGCATACAGCGAGAAATACTTTTCTCCAGATGGAAAAAATAGCCTGCATAGCAGCAACCCCCCCCCCCCCCCCCATCTAACATTACAGCTATATATAGCTGCTTATTAGACTTGCTTATTAAAAACAACAGCACCCACTCCACGTATCTACAATTTTAAGCTTCTGTTGAATTTAAACCACCACCTCTAATTTCTAACCGACCTCGACATCAAACTTGTATTAGGCTGCCAATCAAACGAACGTATCCATAATATTCCCGATGTCATGTTCAACTTCCTTGGGCTCACGGCACACAAGCTATTGCCGGCGGATTTGACATACATAGAAAACGAAGCCAAAGTGCAAATATTTATCTCCACACTATAAAACTTTAAATGTGTTTATCACGTAACAACCACCCCCACCGCCCATCCTTCACATCACTGCAAGAATAAGGCATGCATCTCTTATAGCTTCAACAACAACAAAAACCCCAGGGCTCAACTGCTGAAAGATATCACAGTGACAATAAACCAACCTCTTCCAATTGAAACAATCGGCGTGTTAGAGGTGTACATTGTTAGAGCAAAAAAAAAGTCAAACAAAGCAAAGCCCTTTATTACCTGCGTTGGTCATTGTCAATGTTTTCTCATTAATTGGGTGAAGATTACGTTAACATTTCAAGTATTGTTCCCGATCACCTCTACAAGGCTGCACATTTAATGAACCAATGGATTTACCAAGTTGACCGACCGAATACTTTAGCATGCGAATGGGGTTTTAAACCGACAAATATTTCCACTCACGTTCGCCTTGCAACAAGAAAAAAAAACTAAATTCGTGAACGACAATGAAAAATCGAACCTAAGGTGGTGAGCAGTCCGCAACTGGTCGGGAAATCTGGCTGCCAACTCAAAAAACGGAAATCGACATTTGAAAAGTTGGCCAATGCGTGGAGACTCCACCTTTCCGACTCGGCAGCGAGGATAGCAAGCGGGTGAGTCGTCACACAAACATGCTTCCCAGATGCAAGTTAATGGTGGGGAGGGGGAAATAAAACAGACCTTTAATTTTTCACTCAATTTGTTGGATTTTGTAAATGTGACGGATTAGCTTTTAACCAGAAAAAAGCTGAAATTAATCCACATCACATGACGCGCTCTCTTGCTCTAAGGGACATACAAATAATATATTTGAAAGTAAAGCACGAACAGGGAAGATGACGAATGTAAGGGAATGTCTCTTAACGTCTTTTAAAATGTCAGCTGAAAGGTTGACTTTAATTTCCTGCCGTGGAACAATACTTTCTAAACGTATTTACTGCATACAGTACATAAATTAATCTGCACTTTGCTGTTGGAAGGGGAAAAAATATCTAAATCAAACTCTTACTCGGTGCAACGAGTATTCGTACTGTCATTGTCTACGTTGAGCTGCCAGCACGTAGAAATAAGCACTTTTTTTAACGCAGACATCTAAATTGAGATTAACTCGAAAAATATATATGGGCAGAAGTCACGCTACCCACAAACACGCCCACACGGCGCTCGATGCGGCTATTTATTTTTTTATTACTAAACATTGCTCATCTCGTGTGGGTTGTTGCTGGGGGAGAATTTTTTTTATGGTTCTACTTGCATTCTGCCTCGTCCATTGGCAGTCTTACCATCAATACACACACTGACCTATAACTTGCAAAAATACATTAACCGCCCCCCCCCCCACGCGGTTAAAAGCCAGGTAAAGACACTGGGGGGCTGGATATGGGCAAAGAAGGCAGCGAGGAAGAAGATTCGTCGCTTGGTGGCCGGTGGAATTGATGGGGTTGCCACACGTGTGCCCAGTGGACTCATGCCCTCTGACCAGTCACCGTACAGGTCAAAGTTGCACCCCACCGACACCACCACCTTACGTTCTAATGCACCCCTTCTCTGCAAGCAATGCTTGCCACTGCCGCCCACTGGCATGCTGGGTTCAAAAGGCCAAGGCAGTGGGGGATTTAAAGTTGTGCCACAATTTCATGAATACTCTACACAGTACCTAACAACACAACAACAACCGTAGGAAGGAATAACAGCAGTTCTCATAACATGATTCGCTGGCATGTGAAATCTAAGGACATGTGTTGGCAGGAGTACACAAGGACAAATAACAAAAAACACGTCATTAATATTACTCAATAATATGACGCTGGCATGTCATTGACGAATGTGGCATTTTTGTTTTACCAGATCATTCACATAGCATCTTGTTGCAGCAGTAGCTGTGCAAGGGCTTTTGGTGGGTTGTTATTGAAGACCCTGGGGCCCTGCTTGAGAGGGTAGCCAACACCTTAGCTTAAAGAATTCCCTCCAGCATAAATATATATTCCGATTCAATGGCGCAAGTCCGGCATGAATCAAATGGCCGCAATTAACACATTATGGTGTATACCATTGTGATGTTTGTCTTACGTAGAACATTTGCATTTCACGGTGTTCCAAAGTTAATGATAGAACTCAACGCAAATATGGTACAATAATAAGTTGGGTTCTATGTCCCGGTGGGGGGGGGGGGGGGGTTAAGTTGATTTAAGACCATGGCTAACATCAATGGTAAGTGACATTAACTGATCCTCGAACCTACCCTTCAAACCCACATTGACCAGCTAGGTGAAGTATGGTCAGATAACCATTCAGTAGCGGACTGAAAAACACCCGTACAGATTATTTCTCTTTATTGTTACAAGGTATGGGAATTCTACATTACTATGCAACGCTTGCAGGGTTACTACAAAACCAAACGTGACGTAGTTAATACGACACGTAAACGCAACCACGGAAATCAATTTCACTGGAACTAAATGAACGCGATTGTGACCGCATAAACCCAATGGGGGTCGCGGTGTAACATTGTTTGGAAGTTAACCACGCAGACCCAATGCGGTTATAACGCGAGCAGCAGTGTACGTGAATGCAACCGGCAACAGCCCTATGCGGCTGTGACTTTTGAGAATGCGAATGACCGGCCGCTAAACGATTCGAGGTCGGTGTTCAGAGTCAGCGCGAGGTCAGGGCGGGGTGTGTAGGTGAAGAGTTCAGCAACAGGCCCGACATTTGCTGGATATTTAAGAGTTCTGGGCATAGGAAACGGTGGCCAAGCGGAGTGGTCGGAGTCAAGGGACCGGGCAGGACTTGTGGGGCCATTTTCTGGGACTCTGAAAAGCCGCTCCGAGTTCGATTCGCTGCTACGGCGAACAAAAAAAATCCCGCATTGACGAGCGTGGGGCGAAGTATGGTCGAACAAACCTTCTGGCCGACAACCCTGTGGAAGATGCCTTCAAGCAGCAGGTAATACCGTTAAGGCATTGACAATAGGTCGGATGCGAATTTTTATGAGCTTTTTTTATGTTATACTCATAAACGGGGCAGGAGTTAGGGGGTGCAATCATTAATTATGTGCAGAGGTCGAGGCTTTGCCAACAGCTGTGCAGGGGTTAGGTCCCAGTTAAGCTTCTGGATGGTTCGGTATTTGTTAATGCAGGGGAGGGGGGGGGTTCTAAGCTCCGATTAGCGCCGCGGTTTGAGATCGACACCGATAAACGTTGCGGGTTTTTATGTTTTAAGTCAATAGCAGTTTGCCCGGCCAGTAACAATGATTCGTGGTGTGTTTTTTCGTGTGCGCTTGTTTGTTGGGTGACTCGGTACTGAGAAACTGTACAACAAAAAAATAAAATGGGTAGAAAATCATGATTAACATTGGTCGCGGTTTTGCAACACGCGCCAACGATTGCACTACCAGATTACTGGACACCTGTGCAAAAAGAGCTTTATCGCTCATCGGATTCCTCCAGTATCGACACACGTAAAATCCGATTTTGAGATTCGAAGAAGGCACGAGATTATGTAGTTTTTATCGGCTGCCGCGTGCTAATAAGATCGCGAATCGAAGCTGCAGCAAGCGCAATATGTAAGTGACTGCACCGCATTGCAAAAGGGGGGCATTGCAAGTTCCAATTAAGGTTCGAAGGCCAGGCACTAAGAAGTTAACTCCAAGGTACTGGGGGTCGCAGGAGATGGGTGAACAACGCGTGATGAGATAGGCACTGTTCCTTTAATTAATTTTCACTGGGGCATTTAACAAGTTCCGTTAAGGTTTTTGCGGCCCGTATTCGGTGCAAGCGTTGCATCACGGTGCAAGTGACACGTCCAAGTTATCCTTTATCGAATTGACGGAGTTTGCGTCACAGGTTGAATACGGTAACCAAAATGCAGACCGTTAAATGCCCGGGATTTTAAAACAAGTTTTCCGGTATCCCCTTTGTCTCACCGGGGTCCCCATATTTCACTGGGGGCACGTGTACCCTCCCAACCCCACCCTGTGTCCCACCCGAGGCACGTGTAACGCCACCATGTACCCGTGTCTCACCGTGTCGCCCCCACGTGTCTCACCGGGTACCCGTCTCAACGCCCCCCTGTGTTCTACCGGGAACCCGTGTCACCCCCCGTGTGCCCGTGTCCCACCGGGTCCCCGTGTCTCCCGGTGTCTCACCGTGTGTCTCCCCCCCACGTGTCTCCCTCCCCCCGTGTCTCACCGTGTCTCCCGGTGTCTCACCGTGTCTCCCCCCCCCACGTGTCTCACCGTGTCTCCCCCCCCCCACGTGTCTCCCCCTCCACGTGTCTCACCGTGTCTCCCCCCCCCACGTGTCTCCCGGTGTCTCACCGTGTCTCCACCCCCCCCCCCCCCACGTGTCTCCCCCCCCCCCCCGTGTCTCACAGTGTCTCCCCGTGTCTCCCGGTGTCTCCCGGTGTCTCACCGTGTCTCCCCCCCCCCCCGTGTCTCCCGGTGTCTCACGCACCGTCTCCCCCTCCCCCCCGCGTCTCCCGGTGTCTCACTCACCGTGTCTCCCCCCCCCCCCGTGTCTCCCGGTGTCTCACTCACCGTGTCTCCCCCCCCCCCCGTGTCTCCCGGTGTCTCACTCACCGTGTCTCCCGGTGTCTCACCGTGTCTCCCCCCCCACCCCCCACGTGTCTCCCCCTCCACGTGTCTCACCGTGTCTCCCCCCCCGCGTGTCTCCCGGTGTCTCACCGTGTCTCCACCCCCCCCCCCCCACGTGTCTCCCCCCCCCGTGTCTCACAGTGTCTCCCCGTGTCTCATCGTGTCTCCCGGTGTCTCCCAGTGTCTCACCGTGTCTCCCCCCCCCCCCCGTGTCTCCCGGTGTCTCACTCACCGTGTCTCCCCCCCCCCGTGTCTCCCGGTGTCTCACTCACCGTGTCTCCCCCCCCCGTGTCTCCCGGTGTCTCACTCACCGTGTCTCCCCCCCCCGTGTCTCCCGGTGTCTCACTCACCGTGTCTCCCCCCCCCCCCCCCCGTGTCTCCCGGTGTCTCACTCACCGTGTCTCCCCCCCCGTGTCTCCCGGTGTCTCACTCACCGTGTCTCCCCCCCCCCCCCCCCATGTCTCCCGGTGTCTCACTCACCGTGTCTCCCCCCCCCCCCCGTGTCTCCCGGTGTCTCACTCACCGTGTCTCCCCCCCCGTGTCTCCCGGTGTCTCACTCACCGTGTCTCCCCCCCCCCGTGTCTCCCGGTGTCTCACTCACCGAGTGCGATCGGTGAGGAAGGCGAGCTTGACGAGCCCGTGAGTGAACAGCGGAAGACTCTCCCGGGCGATGCTCGCGATCTTCAGACGATGTTCGAGAATGTGCAGCTCCATAACTAACGACGAGGAGGACGAGGACGACGATGATGACGAGTAGGAGGATGAAGATCTAATGCGTGCCGACTGCAAGCCCAACAACAAAACAAGAAAAACAACCCAGTGGGCATCACGAACCCGGCAGCTACCGCACAACAGCACGGGTTGGCATCACAAAAGAAACGCAATTCGTTAACAGCTTAAATCACAATGTGCAATGTTTAACAAAGTGCAGTCCATACCTCGCCGGGGAGGAGGAGGGGGGGGGTAGAGACGGTAGCAGCTCCACTAACAGCGCGATTCGGCGGCGTGAGATACTCACAAACAAGGTTCGTGAAATTTTAATATTTTAAACAAATTTCGCTTCGCAACGACTACTACAAAAAAAACAATTACTTCAATCGTCCTAACCTCGTCCTCGTCGTCAAGCACTTTGCTGGGTCCGCCGTTCGAATAGCTTTAGGGGGGGGGGTTAGCAGGCTTTAGTCTTTGTTGGTTGTCTCTGCGTCGTTGTTGTTGATGAGCTGTTGATGAGATGCTGATGAGCTCTGCCAAGAGCGCCGCTCCACTCTGCTGGAGGCTGCGAGCGGAGCGCCGAGAAAAACAACTTGGGGCCGAGGGGCGGGGCCCGCGAGGGGGCGAGGGGGCGGAGCTTAGTGGGGAGGGGGAGGAGCTTGGTGGTGAGGGGGAGGAGCTTGGTGGTGAGGGGCGGAGCTTGGTGGTGAAGGGGAGGAGCTTGGTGGTGAGGGGGCGGAGCTTGGTTGTGAGTGGGCGGGGCTTGGCGGTGAGGGGGCGGAGCTTGGTGGTGATGGGGCGGGGCTTGGTGGTGAGGGGGAGGAGATTGGTGGTGAGGGGGAGGAGCTTGGTGGTGAGGGGGCGGAGCTTGGTGGTGAGGGGGCGGGGCGTTCTTCATCAGGAGGTCTTCGCTAACAGCACTTGCCCCCCCGAGTCTGTCGAGGCTATACTGTGGCTGGTGGGTGTGGGGGTATCCTTGGTCTTTGTAGTGTTCGCGGGTTAGAGGCGCTGTGGCCACGAAAGCGGCTTCCCGAGTTCGATTCCCCCCGCCCGCCCGCCCCGGACCGCTCACGGCCGCCCAACACCGGGGGTGGGCCTCCACCTAAGTTGGCTCAGACTCAAATGAGTAACATGGTGCGGTGTGTAAACATCACTCAATCAATGTGGGGGGATGGGAGACAAAGGCGGCCGGGAGTGGTGTTGGCCACCCACCCCCTCCCTCGTTGTTGTGCCGTTGCGGTCTTCATAGGTGCTTGCTAACAGCACTTGCCCCAACAGTTTGTCAAGGCTACACGGGGGATCTTTGTCTTTGGTTTGGGTGGGAGGAGGGTGGAGCGAGCCAGCTGCTGCGAGTGTCCGAAGGGGCGGAGCTTCACAAGAGGGGGGCGTGGTCTGCGTGGGGGCTAGTGGGGGGGTGCGAGGGAGGGGCTAGCGGGGGGGGGGCAACAGCAGCAGCTGCTGCTGTTGCTCCACCGCTCCTGCCTTTTTGATTGGACCACACGGCGAGCTCGGCCGTACGTCATCATCGCGGTGACGTCACGTCCGCGGGTGTCGGAGGTGCGGTGGCGGTGAGGGGGTTGGGCTGGGGGGGTGGGGTGAGGGGGTTGGGCTGGGGGGGGTGAGGTGAGGGGGCGGTGTTAAAATGTTGTTTTTTTGGAGGGGAGGGGGGAATAGTTGGGGGGGGGACGAGGGGGGGGGCTAGTGGGGTAATACGAATGAGGGCGTGGTCACTGTGGAGGAGGCGTGGTCACCAGCGTTGTGGGCGTGGTCACGCGCGAGGTGGGGAGGGGTGGGGGCTGCAAGGGCGCGCGGTCATTCGAGGTGAGACGCCCACAATGTTTTTTGCTCTTCAGATTTTGCGCACTGTATTACTAAATGGGGGTTGCGAGTTGTAGCAGAAAGTTGATAGAGAGACACGTAGGTAAAAAAATTAAAATTAATAAAAGTAAAATAAAAAATAAAATAAAAATCACGACGTTTGGGAGGCAACACAAGCCTCCGTCTTCAGGTGGAACCGTCACAGCACGATAGCTGTATCAAAGTGACTTTACCGAAAAAACCTGAGAATATGAATCCTTGCAGTCACGAAAGCTTTAAATCTAGAATTGATAGAGAGAGTTAAAAAATGTACGACTGCAAGTGTGGCTTTAAAAAAAAAACATGCTGCAGGGATTGAGCGAAGAGGTTGTTTATTTTGAGGGTGAGTGGTGGTTGGTTGAAGGAGGGGTTTGGAATTCAGCTGTTTTTGGGATGGGAGATTTTTGTTGTTGTTGTTGTCCTTTTAAGCCAAAAATATTCCTCCAACTTAGAATCGTAGCTTTTTTTTGTCACTTCATATACCAAGTGACAGCCCGCCGCAGTTCGGTTACCTAATAGTGGGTGTAGCAGTTGTTTTGCTGTCAAGGGATGTGTCCGTGATCCCTATCTGATGTCTTGTTAGTGTGCTTTGCAGCATTAAACTTGTACCTTACCAACACCATACCCAGTGCTGGCGTGGTCAGCACGAGCAAGGAATAGAGGCTAACTCTCCAGCCACCACTGACTGAACCCGAGCAGAGGCTAAGTCTGGCTCTATGAGCCTCTTGAATGAACACTTTATCCTTTAATTGCATTAGTCTGGCTCTGTGAGTCACATATATTAACACTGAATATAGTTGGGGCGCCACAGCGGCGAGATGTTAACTACCTCGCTGGTATACAGGAGGTCGTGGATTCGATCCCGACCCTGACGCCTGCTGCTGTATATTTGGAGTTTGCGTGTCTCTCTCACCATCATCATCACGGTGGCTAGGAGATGTTAACTGCCTCGCCTGGTATACAGGAGGTCGTGGGTTCGATCCCGACCCTGACGCCTGCTGTATATTTGGAGTTTGCGTGTCTCTCTATCATCATGATGGCTAGGAGATGTTAACTACCTCGCCTGGTATACAGATCGTGGGTTCGATCCCGACCCTGACGCCTGCTGCTGTATATTTGGAGTTTGCGTGTCTCTCCCCGTGGTGGCGTGAACATTTTCTCCGGGTCCTCCGGTTTTTCCCTGTACACCTAGAAACGTGCATTTAGACTTTAGAGTATATAATTTGTCTGCTCTCTATTTACACGCGACGATAAGCCACTTCATTGGGCTATCATTTGTGGCTAGAAAAAAGAGCTATCATAGCTCAGTGGGTCTTACCTGTCAAAAAAAAGTATAGTTTTAGTATCGTAGTGTGGTTGGCATGGGCCCTGGTGCAAGGAATTCAATGCCCCCCCCCCCCCCCGCTAACCACTGACCCCACTCCCACCACCTATCCATCACCCCCCCCCCCGCCCTCTTTGTAGTTCAGCGCTGACCCTATGAACTATATTCTGATTCTGACCACAAGTGGAAATCAACAAACAAGCGGAGGCCCGACGCAATGGCACCGCCTGCACTCTCGACAGATGTGTCCGCTCAATGACTAGACAGCAGATCCGGTGCCTTGCCGTTCCAAATTCAGTATACGCGACTCTTATCTTCCCACGAGCTCTCATCTGCTCCCAATATAAATGACAAGCAGCGGTATGATCGTTCATGCCGAGGAGGCTACAAAAATATCGTGAGAGAAAAAAACCTGGAGGCAGTTTAAACCAACTTCTTCCATGACGTGCGCTTTTGTCACTTATAATTGGACGCACAAATAAGTCAACCTTGTACATCGTTGCATTGTTTTTGGTTTAACTTAAAAGTGCGACAGCTAGCATAATCTGCTGCGTGTTTACGGACTTTAAAAGAGTACACGTTAGATAAAAAAAAAACGGCCAGCTTGTTTTTGAATGTTGTTTTTGAACCCTCTTCAAACCGTAAATACATATTTTATATTTGCCAAGAAAAACAAGACATGTTCAAGGTTAAGGGCATTGCTACCCCCCGAGCAATCGTGCAATGCCCCCTACACAAACATGAATGCCCTTTACCACCCCACCACTACTTTATAATAAATTAATCACTGCCCCCCTTTCCCAGTCTAATCAATAAACACATTCCTGCGGAGGGAGCTGGTAGGAACGTTGGGTTGCTCGGTCAATGGCCTGCAGGGTCAACGGCGACGTGGTGTTTTCCGCAAATATACCCGACTGTGAGGGCGGGCACAAGTCGGCGTGAGTAGGTTAAACGTTGAGTTTTATAAGGGCACCACGGGGTGACCAGTCCCTCCCCACCCAGCCCCACCCCTCCCACCCCCCACCCAGCCCCTCCCCTCCCCACCCAGCCCCACCCCTCCCATTTTTGGATGCACGACGGACGGACGGACACAATAATCCCCTGTGGGCTGGTGTAACCAGGAGGTTCCTACCAGTATAACCCGGGCCTGCCGTCCTCCCGCACACCCTCCCTTCGGTGGGGTTAGGTCTACTAACCACTGCGCCACCGACCCGCACTGACAACCGTGGTGAAGTATGCTCAAAGTTGACCAAAGATAGCGTGGGGGGCAGGACCTCGTCCATCGGTCGATCGAGAATGATTGCGTTGGTTTGTTTTTTTCCTTCAAAGTTCCGACCGCATTATTCCGACGTGAGGAATGCAACCACCAATTCAGCGGTGTACTCTTAAATCTGTCCAGGCCCTACACGGATCCTGCAGTGGCGTCTGTCAGCCCCGCATTCATCTCCACCCCCACCAAATCCAAATACTCGTCGAGCTTTGACCATGCCAAGGAATGATGACTGCTGCACCACCACCAATCTAAACATTTCCCCGGTAATAGACTGCCCTTTGCCAATCCTGCAATCATCATCCTCATCATCAGCCATGGTCAATCCACTGCTGGATGAAGGCTCCCCCCCCTCCCCAAGCCGTCACCATCTCTCATGATCCTGCCCTGTTGAAGCAGTAACAATAATATTATACACTGCCTGCAAATCTGTTGATTACACCCTGAAACGCCCGATAACAAGAATATTTAAGGCGATGAACCTTAACAATCCCCCCCCCCCCCATGACCCACTTATCCATACCCATTGCCGAACTTATCAAAACCAGCTTAAAAACACCCACCACGTCTTCTACATTGCCCCCGAATAGTAAAGCAAGTGCCAATCCACCCCTCCACCCGCTATGACGGGCACACAGCAGCCAGCCAACTCTGCCCCCCAAACACACGGCGACAGATCCACCACAATGCGCTAACCTCGCTCTCTCCAACCAACACAACAACACTGTACCACCACAACAACACTGCACCCCCACACAACAACACTGCACCACCACACAACAGCACTGCACAACAACACTGCACCCCCACACGCCACAAATCAGCACTACACCCCCACACGCCACACAACAACACTGCACCCCCACACAACAACACTGCACCCACACACAACAACACTGCACCCCCACACAACAACACTGCACCCCCACACAACAGCACTGCACCCCCACAGATCAACACTGCACCCCCACACGCCACACAACAACACTGCACCCCCCACACAACAACACTGCACCACCACACAACAACACTGCACCCCCACACAACAACACTGCACCCACACACAACACTGCACCCCC